ACCAAAAGAAACGGGGCTCTGGGGACGAAAAACACTGCTGACATGTTGCGAGGCTCATAACTCGCCGGCGGGAGCTTGAGTACCTATCAATTATCAAAATACCCCTGATTACTCGTTTTGATAGTCTCATGAATTTTCTTCACGCTGCGCTGGGAAAATACAGTGAAATTGAAGCAACTGCTTTCTTTTTCAACAGTGAGCTGAGCAAAAGTAGAATTCGCATAATAACGTAACTTTACGTGTGGGCATTAATCGTGGAATTCGGAGCCCCCCATGTTTACACAGGAATGTAATGTATACTCTCGGGTCATTTTCCTAAGCGTCGCCCAAAAGAGGACTGGGAACGAGATTATGTTTCATAATTATAACTGACAGTTCTAGATTACCCGCGGGTGACCTTGCTAATTTAAAATAAAGAAATTGTCCAATAACTTTGTTTTGTTGATTCATGTTGCACTGCGGGTCGGTAGATTCAAGTGTTCAAGCACCTGTTAGCTACCGGTATTAACCGGTGATATGACCTTCCAAATAACAGGTGCGCGTGCGTTTTGAAGAGCACATGCTCTTTTACCTTTTGATCTTATCCCGATAATCTCTTTTTGACGTGTATTGTTTACGAAATGAAATTTGATATTTTTTAGCTCATCGGACAAAGCCAGGAATTGGACATTTTGGTCTGTTTCACTAATGGAATCGCAGTTGTTGTAAAACTGGCATTTTAACATTGAAGGAGGAGCGAGCACACAAGATTTCGAAGTTGAAGATGTCAACCTTGGGATTCCGCTTTGCAATTTTTCTTACCACAGTAAGTCAGAATACAATTCATTTAACGCTAAACGTTAACATTGTTGCTGAAGTTTCCGTGTTAAGAATAACGTCGATTTTATGACAAGTTTCTATCACTTAACTGAGCAAAACGTTAGTCGTAACCGAGACATTTCTCTCCGTCAGTGAGAAAGTTGCACCATCAGAACCTCCTTTATAGCGATTCTTTTACTCTCATAGTTCAAGGCTGGAAAAATGGAGAATTTCAGTTTGCGAAGAGTCGAGAAATAAACAGTTCCACATGAAAATGCTGCCCAATAGCTTTCTTTTGAATAGCTACCACCTGGGGTTTTATTTATGGACTTTTAAAAAGTTAGAACCACCTTTTAACAAGACGATAAACATAAAAAATAGTGCGATATAAAAGAACTGCACAGTATTCGTAGGTATCACTCAAAACCGATTTTGCAAGCTGCCCAAACAATAGAGAAGACAGCGCAGCGGCCGAGTGGTTAAACCTGGTTAGGGCGCCGGACTTAAAATCCTGCCGACGGTCGTGGGTTCACGTCCCGTTCTGACCAGTTGCAAGTGTTGTTTAGTGTTGTTTTTGGTAGTCCCGAGTTCAACTGCTCGACCACGCCTGCAAATAGCTTAGCTAACCATTCTGCCTCCTCTCAGCTGGGATTTTTAACCATATTATGATACTTCTACCTTATTTGTTTCATTGTTTGTCAGTTTCCATTGGCCCTAAGTGGCTAGGGAGTGGTCAATAATTTGTCATGGATACCTTGGTATCAATTCACATTCTTGGGTTGAGCTCGAGAGAGAGGCACACTCCTCAGTCAGGGTAAAACTGGCACTGGACCAGTCGATGCCAAGTACAACACCGACTAACGATTAGACAGCTGCACTTACATAACCAGGGAAAGGTTGACGAACTCTCGTGAGACTCTTGTAGCTTAGTGATGAATCGTTCGACCATTGTCCGGAACGTAATGGGTTTGATTGGCATCGAAACAATTAAGATTTACTGTAAATCATCGGTCAAAAATTGTAACCGTCCATAGTTATTAACAGATCTTTGGCATCTCCTCTTTAGGTTTTATTTGCTTTTGGCCTTTTGCATGTGAAAGGTAAGTTGGTCATTATTTTTAAGTTCTAGGAACAAGTGGATGCAACTTATCAGTTTAGTCTTACAAATCTGAGTGTCAGCACCCCCATCTAATAGGCACTCTCCATTAAGTGCCGTATTTTAATAATCGCTCCCTCACACCCCCGATAGCGATGATCCGATGATTTTATTGTTGACAGTGAGGTTCAACCAAGCTACCGTTTGCGTTTCGCGATGCTGTCTTGTTTGGGAATTGTGTTGCCCTTTGAGACTGCTCGCCGCTCACTGCTCAAGCAAAGCACCGAACAAGACAGCCATCCCACAGGCTGATTCAATTTACATAGAAGAGCAGCCATCTCAGGTTTGAAACCCTCTTCATTGTTGTTTTTGCAGGCGACATTGCTCCAGATATCGTCCTTTTAAGTAACTCGGATGGCAACTCGATGTACAACGACCCCATGGAGTATCAACGCACCAAGCGGTCCTATATCCATGAAGATGACAATGAAGACGATGATAATGATGATGACGATATCGGAGACGAAGGATATGATGAAGACAAAGATGAGGACGACAGGAGCGATAGCCCGCTGACGAGTCTTAACGATCCTGATTCATCGATGCTTCATAAGAAAGATGAAATTCATCAGATGCATGTCAAAGCTGTCGGGCAGCAGCAGCCATCGAAGACGGAGGAGGATAGTGAGAGTACAGATGAGTCAGGCTCGTCCGATGACGATGAAAGTAGTAGCAGTGGAAGCGGAAGTGGGGAAGTCAGGGGAGAGCGAGTGTATGCAAGGTGATAGATACCAGTCATTTAGTTCTTTACTGTATTAAGCAGGCTTCAAGTCAGTTGGTCAGTGCATCGATTGTCTGTGTGGTTGTCTGTCTGTTTATCCGTCCGTCTGTCCGTCTGTCTGTCCGCACACCCGCCCGTTCCTCCGTCCGTCATTTATTCAGTTGGTTAGTCGGTCGGTCAGTCAATTCGTTGGTCGGTGGTCAGGGCGGTCGTTGGATCGGTCGGTCGGTTATTTAGTTGATCACTCAGTAATTCCGTGAAGTTCACGGAACGTGTTATTCGGTCAATCAAACAGTCAGCTCGTCTGTGCGCCATTCTGTCTGTCCATTAGCGTCCATCGGGTCATGAGAGGTTTCTAAACTTGTGAGCACCTTAAGTATTCCGTCCGTCTTTCCCCTGGTGACTTACAGGTCCAATACCATCAGCCTCACCATTCTCTAGTTCCGTCAGACAATCTCACAATAAATTAATCGCCAGTCAATTAAAACAAAGGTCAACGTTTCACGCTTTCTGTTGTATTTATTGAGTAAGATTAATAAAAAAACCTTAACCATGCAAAGCAATTCTTTTTTTGGATCACGGTTTCATCAGTGGAGGGCAATGTCTTAACGGTTTACAGTATATTACAGTTTAATGAAAATGTCTCTGAAATTAAAACAAAATCCTTCTGCCTAGCAGACAACGTGTTTCAGACAAGGAAGATGACACTGACGAAGATGCTTCGGTAGACAAAGAGGAAGCAAGTGGTAGTGGTGATTTAGATGAGAAGGAAAATAAACACATCGCAGAAGAAAATGCAACCATGAGTAACCCGCGTGAGAAGCCGAGGAACTTGATTAAAATGATGGTGGACGAATCTAAGGACGCGGAACGGGAAGAAAAATTTGAACGCAAGAATGATGAGGAAAATTCAGGTCAGGAATCTGGATCATCCACTGGCTTTGTCCAGGGGAGTGCCGAAACAGGGGTGTATCATGAACAGGAACACCCCGTTCCAAAGCCACACCCCCAAAATGTACCCCAAATTAGTAATTCCACCTCAGGAAAGGACATAGCAAACAAGAGCGAATCATTGCACAAAGAAACACATTTACATCCTAATGACAAGGTGGAAGAAGTGGACGATGATCCAAAGAAAAAGTCAGCTACTAGTAAAAGCAAAAGCAAAGTCGAAATGAAAAGCAAGGATTCGAAAACAAAGGCGTATAAAGAAAAATCACTAAACAAAGAAAAAGCTAAGGAAGAAAAAAGTTCTAAAGACAAAACTGAACATTCATCCCATGTTCAAGACGCGAAAATTCACAAGAAGAACATTGAGAAAGCGCGTATCAGGGTTTCCAAAGTGTCACACTTGGCAAAAAACAGACTTCGTCATAAGCATCTGACAGGACATGTCACGCACCCACATGTGGTAGAAAACCATTTAAAAGTCGTTCACAAAATGCCTGTCATCAAAGGTGCAGTATGTCACACAATATTAGAAATAGCGTAGATATTGATTTTTGGAAAACATTTGCAAATGAAGATGCTGACTGTGCTATCAAACTAAGGCGAGAAGAAGTCCGTCTATCATGGGTAATTTTAGCTGGAGCATAATATGACTATTTATAACTTGTGTTTTTATATTATGTCATGCTATGTCGTTCTGTTTAAAGAGTTTTGCTATGCAGTATTCACATGCCGGTGGCCTCATGATTAGTGCGTTGGCTCCAAATCGACTGTTCGGGTTCGAGCCCTGGCCGGGGACACTGTGTTGTGTTTTTGGGCAAGACACTTAACTCTCACAGTGCCTCTCTCCACTCAGGTGTATAAATAGGTTCCAGTTTAGGAATTTAATTCTTGGGGGGTGGGGGTGGGGGTAATCCTGCGATGGACTAGCATTCCATCCAGGGGGAAGTAGAAATACTCCTAGTGGCTTCATGCTACACAAATCGGAATAGGCTCCTGCCTGATGAGCCACTTGGCTCGTATGTAGACATTTTTTTTCATCCGTACTCCGGTGCTTCAACGTTGAAAGACGCAAAATATTTCCTATGTAATAAGTTCAGCCATGATTTTAGAAAATCAAAACTCCTTCAAATAAGAACGAGTCCTCTCCATTAAAAATATACTTTGAATAAGAATAGTTCCAAAATTTATTACCAGAATTTTACTGTATTTTATTTAACATCATCTCTTGTTTTTATTGCACCTTCGTATTAGCTTCATCGCAAATGTGTCATTCGGACAAGATTTTAGCCGGACATTCATTAAAAGGAGGTACCCGAGCTGGTCACTTCCAGACCTTGGGTGAGACCGCAAGCATGCACGCATGTCTTCAGCGGTGTTGCAGTAGACACCCGTGTGACGTGGCATTGTTGATTGACGGGCGGTGTTATGGAGTGGCTTGTTTCAGCAAGGAGCTCTGTGAGGCCATTCCGGTTCCTCATCCACATTTCGTCTTCTCGCAACTCGGGTTTATTACTAAAGGACAAAAGAGAGGAGACATTGAGAAGAACCAAGGTATGAGACCTACACTAAGCTCAACAAAATAACAATAAAAAAATAAGTAATTTCATTGAAGTGTCAAAGTATTTATTTTCATTCAGTTGGTTAGCACAGTTAGTGTTCAAACCGCGCTACATTCTTTGCGTCATGTTCGCGGGGAAGTCACGTTATACCTTTCAATACCTTTTTCAGTGTTTCAATGTCGTCTTATGGGCCCCCTCTATCGTTGAAATCTAAGATGGCTTGCGCCCCAATCGCTCACATCTTGAAGAAGTCCCTAACGATAGAGATAAATGTCGAGAGAAAATGGAAGGAGATATCATAGAATTGTTCTCATTAGCAATGTGAACTTGCAAGAATTTTCACACCAGCTTGAACGTTCCCCGAAAATGTAACTGGCTCGGAGCAGGATCCATATCGGCACCTGCGCCTTTAAGAGTTGTCCAAATTAAGTTGGAGGAAAACGAAATTTTCCCTTATTTTATATTATATGGGTTCAGTTCTTAACTGAAAGAAACCAACGGTTTTTGTTTTTTAGAGTTTCACTGTCGGTACGGAAATCTCACACTGAGAAACAACGAGCAGTGGAGCGGTGAATTATGTGGGGGCGTCGTTCGATGTAAAGATGGCATCGCTACTGTAAAAAAATGCTCGGGTATTCCACCGAAACCTGACGACTGTGCCCGACCACGGCTGATCGTAAAACACCGGAGTGGAAAATGCTGTCACATGAAATGGAAGTGCAAAGGTAATAAATTTAATGAGAATAACTTTATTGCCAGACGGCTTAATATGAATATTCCAATTCAGCGTAATTGTGCAAAAACAACTGCGTAGTTTTTCTTGTGGAACGTGAAACGAAATGCCAAAAATCGCGAGGAATCTGGAGGCGATAGCCAAACGTTCGCTTTTACTTATTCTCGTCTCCAGACCCAAGTTTTACTCTTAAGGTGTAGGGCTATGGATGTATGGACAAGAATGGCTTTTTCGTCACTCTTATTAACTTCCAGTTTCCGCACGTCTAGTTTGTTTTGTTGTTGCTAGTGATTTATTTTTAATAACATACTCATAAGAAAAACAGGTCTTTTCTTATCGCTTTTTTTCATCTCTTTGAATTTTAGCAAGGCACTGTATTTTTAACAACCGTGTTATCAAGCATGGCTATAAACTGAGCGATCCACTATGTACCGGAGTTGTAAGCTGTTACAATGGCCATTTAAACATGGAGTACTGTCCTAAAATACCAGAAAAGCCAAAGGACTGTGCACGACCCAAGTTGAAGACTATCAATGTGCCTGGAAAATGCTGTAAAAATCTGTGGGTTTGTTCAGGTAACTGAGAATAATTCATCATTGATCTTGTAGTGGTATATTTAATAGAATATAAAGTGATTTTAGGGATGTTATAGGGGAATTAAGACCTCCAAAACAAAACAAAACGCGGTAAGCTAGGAGGGGTAAAATCTGGTCTGAAGTCAAAATTTTATTTAAAGTTTCATCGTCTAAGGCTACCGTCTAAAGGTACAAACCTCTTGACAAGAGCAGTCCATACTTTCCCTAAATTGCTTCGAACGCCTTCGGCACTTTCACCCTCGGTTACCCATACACCATACTTCTCAAACTCAGTAATAATTCATCCAATTTAAGGAAAGGAAATTATGACTGAGAAGGTGTTTGGATAACTGATCTTAACCAGCATACAGTTTTACGATTTTATTTCTCCATTTTCTTCTTATCTCTTGTTTCGATTTAGAAGATATATCAAACACTCGACACTGTCGACCATATTTTCAAACATCTCGAAGTTCGTCAAAAAATACTCCGCTACGCGTCGTATTTCCAACTCTCTTCTCGTTGTTTCGAAATGCGGTCAAACACGGTCTGTCGTGTTTGATATATTACGTGAATACCGACACCAAGTTTTATTTCCTTCAGACAAAAGTTGTGCATACGACGGTCTCAGGTTATCGCACGGAGAGAAACTCACAGATGCGTCATGCGCAGTAGTCATGGAATGCAGAAATGGCTTCCTTCACAATAAGCCGTGCCCAGGGCCCCCTCCTGTGCCGCATACCTGTATCAATCCGCTGCTGAAGGTCAAACGTGTTCCGGGTGAATGTTGTGAAATGAACTGGGCGTGTGAAATGAGCTAGGTTTCTTCACTCGTCACAGCAAGGTTGGTATCGAAGAAGGTTCTTAGCTTTTACGAACATGGTCAGCTGTGGTGGCGCAATGGTTTTGCATTGAACCTAACTCGCGAATTCGTTGTATTAGATATGTTTTTTTTTCTTTTTAATAACTAGCTCTCATACTTATCACCTGTCAGGAGATACATGGTAGATTTGTTGGACAAGCCAACTGAATATTGAGGCCCCTTCCCCATTACACCGGAGAACATTGTAAACGGCGTTTTCTCTCCGAAAGCGCATCAAATGTTTTCCATCCACATTTCGCCGGAGAAATTTGAAACCCTATCAATCAGCGGCCATTTTAGATTTGCTTTTGAGGAAAACTCTGGCAGGGAAATCCCAGTGTTATTGTAGCGTCATCCTTTTCTGTCCGCACTAAAACGCACAGCCAGTGTCAGTTCAAATTCCTCTCGTTTGAAGAGCGTTTTCGGAAAGCTACGTTTTCGGAACGGATTTTCGGTGTGGACGGTAAGCTCAACCGTAGAAATAAAGCTGCGTTTTCAAATTTTTCCGACGTAGAGTGAACGGGGCCTAAATAAGTGCGTAACAGTTCACTGCACGAGTAGTTCTAGTATTATAAATTTTACATAGTTTACTCTCTCATTTTTGGGCTTTCAGTTCAATGATCTATAAAGTTTAAACAACTGAGAGACACTAACGACACTTTTACGCCACTGAAATGGAAATTGCCTCTTAATCCTGACGATTTTCCTCAACAGGCCGGGAAGGAAAAAGTAGTTTACTTACTGGAGTGGTTTTCAGAATGTCTTAAAGCCTTAACAAAATATTTCACGGTAATTGTTAATGTTTCATTATGACTGTGGAAAGTAATTCTAGCTAAGAGAAATATATTTTTATATTTCACTTCACATAAGTCAGATTCAAATTTTATTTTTAGCTTGTTTTAAAGAGACCACTTCAATTCACGTATTTTTAATGTTGCAGAAAAAATAAGATAAGATGATTGAATATCATTTATTTTTACAAAATGTGTCACAAACGGTGGTGAGTCGTTTTAAGACAAGTGTAGGAATTACTGACATGCACTCTAAGAAGTCACTGGTTGAAGAATACAGATCTATCAATCGAAATAATAAAGCAACAGACCAACCGAACAAATAGATAGATAACTAAACAAATGAAGAAATGAAAAATAGATGGATCAATGAACAAAGAAATAAACAAGCAAACAAGCAAATAGAATAAGATAAAATACAAATTTATTGTGTAAATACGTTTAACTATAAGAGTGCTATACTAGTGAATTTATTACACATATAAAAATGAAAATAGGATGTAGCTAAATTAACATTTCCCAGTAAAAATAATTGAAATATTATAGTAAACGCCGCGTATATTTATATAAAAAAAAACAACAAAAAATGGAAACAGATAAAGAAGTAAATGAATAAAAATATAAATAAATGGGAAAGGTATTGTAAAATGATTATGTTGAATATTGGGGAAGAAAATGTAAATGGTTCTTTGTGCGTATTAGGTTCTTGTTTCTTTTAACCATCAACTTACTTTGGGTTCAGGATAAAATTTGATTAGTTTTGGTGTAAAACAAGACAAAATTAAACAGCAGAAAATTAGCGCTCGTGAAAAACAGACTTTTAGCTTCGCATTGCCTTTCATTCCCCGCGCGGTTCATCTGTTTCTCGTACCCAAACTCATTTTTGCACCTTAAATACATGTTCAGCGGAAAATAATCGCCCGAGGTTGAGGCAGGTATTTCATGGTAAGAAGTTCCATTCTGATTTCGACTCACCTTCGGTGTATGTCTCTTTTGATTGGTTGTTTATTACTCCAGCTTTAATGACAAGCAGAAGCCGATCTCGCATAGCTTTTGAGACGAATGCACAACTAAAAAAGAGAGCGAAAGGTCGATTTACGCGCTCCGCAAGGCTCAAATTTAATTGCGAGAAGAAATAATGCCTCGGTTATTCTGTTGAAGTGCGCCTCTTCGCTTGTGAATTGGCCTGTACGAGTGAGTCCACAAACTGCGACGTTCGCATCAACTGAGGAAACTCATTACAAGTCTGGAAGTTGCAGTGTGGCTTTAATAAAGGGCAAAATAACTAAATAACATGCGGCCACAACGATCTCCTGGATCTCAACAAGACACCTCCACTTCCAAAGTTGTGTGTCACGTAATCCGTCCGACCATGAAAGAGATTGGACTAAAAAAATTGAGCGGAAAAAACGTTTTATTAATAGAAGGTTTTAGGTTGGATTTGATTAAGAAAATGTTATTTGTAAAAGAAATAAAAAGGTTATTAGAATTTACATGCCAGCCAATCGACGAGTGTGTGATTCGGATTGAAATTGCGTGACGTTTGCCTTGCGTCGTTTCATACGTCATTGACGTCATCTGTTACCATGGAATCGACGGTTACTAAGCAACTCGAAGTGGAGAGAAAAAACATTGCTGCAGTTAGAAGTAAGAGACAGACTTTCAACGCAGTGTGCTTGAAGTTTCTCTATTTTTCTTTTCCTGGAATTTTCTGTCGTTTGTTATTTCATATGAAGGAAGGAGAAGATAAGGTTATTGTGGAAATAACCTTGAACTATTCAAAATTTATGGAAAAACACCAAATGCTTTGACATCGCCTTGAAAGGACAATTATTTAGAAATTTTCAAAAATAATACGACTTTTTTAATTTTCACAAACATGCTTCGACGGTACATCCGTCATCGTCAGTGTGACGGTTATGAAAGTTTACAGTGATTTAAAACGTGCCTGTTACAAATCATACGTTACATTGCGTTGGAAAACAATACGTTAGATAAATTTCGAAGTTAACGGAATTAAAAGATGCGCGTGCAGCTATAGGGAAAGCGTCAAATTGATGTGATTGACCTGTTGATTAAGGTCAGGCTTTTCCCACTTGATGTACATGACTCCTTAAGCTTAACTTGGTACTTGGTAGGTGCAGAGTCTAAGATCTTGAAGCAGTCTAAGTTACATGAGGTACGGTACGACTCTGAAGCCTGCAAGTGCTTATAAACGTGAGAAGATCTGTCCGATGACAAGTGCTCGTGCACGCGCGTGGAGAAATGTCGGCTTGTTTCGCCAACGTAACAAGCATAACAGCTTGCATAAGAAAATTTGTACACGATGCGCGTACAGAGCCTGTCAGGGAGAGGATCTTTCTAGCGTATTGTTTTCCAACGCAATGTAACGTATGATTTGTAACAGACACGTTTTAAATCACTGTCAACTTTCATAACCGTTACACTGACGATGACGGATGTACCGTCGAAACATGTTTGTGAAAATTAAAAAAGTCGTATTATTTTTGAAAATTTCTACATTTTTGCTGCTGTCTCGACC